ATGTGCATGTGAAATTCTGATGTATTGCTATTTTGTCCAAAACTGGGTGTTGCTTGTGTTTCAAGGACTCTATTTCTTCTGGCTACATCGGACAGATATATTTTGGTACCTGTATTACAATCCTCTTTCTTGATTTTAAGTTTTGGTATATCCTTTTCTGTATCATTCATTTTAATGTCAAGGAGAAATAGATTATCTGTCCATATGGCATGAGGATAGTGTTACAGATTTTGAATGAAAGCTATAAAGGATAAATACAGAATCTTCCCAAAATAAACCTTTTTTCCCTTTCTTTCTTTAGAACGATCAAAATGCGAAGCACCATCAATGAATTCAGAAAGTGTTTATGAGATTTTACAGCACCTTCAATCTCATCGCATGGCTGTCTCAGATGTCACTCTTCTGCACCAGATGAAATCCCTTGTTCTTCTGCAGGATGTTGAAAGAATAAAGGGTGCCATAGAAGAGTTCCAGATACATTCAGCCATGCCTCCTGGTATGTTAAGCACAAGCAAGCAGGCTCCTACTGTTCATCTGTTTTCAGATTAGCATGTAGCAAGGTATTTATTCCTCAGAGACATTCTATTCATATTTAGTATTTGTGTAAATCTGCTGGATACTTGATTCACAAAATGGTAGGGGACAAAGAAATAAATAAGGCTGGCTCTGTACAGTGAGATTAAGCAAGCCTAATTGTTTTTTACATGGTCAGTTCCTTAGGGACAAATTAGATGAGACTGAGGAATATAGAGCTGCAATTGGGTCTCCCCATGTTCTTGCTGTTACAAGCAACTGTGAATGCCCCTGACTGCATCAGGGTTGTGGTTCTGGAGATGATTAAATCACTTGCCCCAAAGCTGCTATTTGTCCTGCAGTGGGAAGATGTACAGGTTCTAGTATGGAAGCTGTACATTTCCCTTGTGGAAGAGCAAGCAGGTACTTTTGGGATTTACATCAGAAAAAGGGGTATTAAGGGAAAGGTGATAGTGCCTTCCCCCATTCAATTGCACCTCAGCCTCCTATGTTATAAGGCTCCGATGTAACTATTTTGAAGTCTTAAAAGTGTAGACAGATCCAATAAGGGATCTCTGTATCTTGTCTAGTTTATATTTTAACACTATTTCAGTAACTGTTGTAGGCTATGGTAGAGTAACTGAATACAGTGTGTAGCAAGCAGAGAAGAACCTTTAGTTCTGTGGACCAGTGGGAGAAGGACTCTCAGGTATTGATATAGATGTATTACAAGCATTCAAAAGCACCTTTGTTTTCATCTAGGAAATGCTGGAGGGTATTTTTGTGTTCTCTTTCTAAATGTGTGTTCAGCTTTTTTTCTTGATCGAGGATAGTTTGAACAGACTCTAAGTTCATGGTCTGTTTCTTTTATCTTCTCAACAGCAGGTAGCACATTGTTAATGCTCGCTGTTGGGCCCAATGTTTATCTTGGAAGTGCTTGATACAGGCTGCCTCTCCACATTGTTGGATATTGTGCTATTGTTGCACTGTAGCAATTGTTTACAACTGGATCACATTCTCCACACAGAATAATCCAGTTGCAAGTGGTTGCTGTAGTGCAAAATTCAGTTACCTGCATCACACAGGAATGCACCATTTGCTGGTCTCAGCCCACCGGAAAGAGGAAAAAGACAAACGTGTAATCTGATATATATAAAAGGCCTAACACACTGGCACTTTCGAGCTCTCTCATTGGCTATGCAGTGCGCTCCATCAGCCATTGGCCCATCAACCGCCACTCAAGAGTACTCACATGCCATTGGCTGGGTGCTGGGTCCATTCCTCTCTCCAGCCCACTGCCAGCATGGCCACTGTTCCCTGACAGAATAAACTGCCAAAAGAGCTGTCTCTCCTGACGAAGACACTTCTCTTTGCTTGGTTCCTGTGGGGCTTTTCCCTCAGTGGCTGTTGCTAGGCAACCACGCTTGGTTCTGTCAGTAAAAAGGCAAAGGCAGGAGGCCCTTTCCAGGCCCACCAGCTCCAGGTTGGGAAATTCCTGGAGATTTTGTGGTGGAGTCTACAGAAGCCAGAGTTTGGAGAGGGGAGAGGCCTCAGCTGAATAGACTGTAGACTCCACCCTCCAAAGCAGTTATTTTCTCCTGGGGAACTATTGCTACTAGTCTCCAGGTGAGGGCTGGAAATCACTCAGAATTAAAACTGCTCTCCAAATGGCAGAGGTCAGTTCCCCTGGAGAAAATGGCTGCTTTGCAGGGTGGACTCTGTATCATTATATACTGCTGAAGTTGCTTCCCTCCAGGTTGGGTCCCCACTGTGGAGAAAGATTGTACTTTTCCTGGGTAGAGGCTGCAGGTGCGGCAAGGGGGAGATGGAAAGCTGAAATCAGAGGGGTAAATAAAAGTAGGTTGATGGTTGGCTGGGAAGGGGATAGGGTTGCCACCTCCATGCTGGGAAATTCCTGGAGATTTGAGGAGTGAAGCCTGGAGAGGATGGGGTTTGAGGAAGGGTGGGACCTCAGACAATGTCATAGACTCCACCCTCCAAACCAGCCATTTCCTCCTGGGGAACCATTGTTGCCAATCTCCAGATGAGGGCTGTCATTCCACTCCATGGACTCTCATTCCAGTCCCTGAACACTCCTGCTAGACCCTGGGGCTGTCATTCCACTCTGTGGTCTCTCATTCCAGTTCTTGAACACTCCTGCTCCACTCTGGGGCTGTCATTCCACTTTTGGGCCTGTCATTCCAGTTCCAGAACACTCCTGCTCCACCTTGGAGCTGTCATTCCACTCCATGGTCTCCCATTCCAGTCCCAGAACAGTCCTGCTACACCCTGGGGCTGTCATTCCACTCTGTGATCTCTCATTCGATTCCCAGAGTAGTGTATTTGGGCCCAGAGACCCTAATGAAAAATCCATTCCGCATTTTTATTGCAACTCTACTTGTCCTGTAATGCATTTCAATGGAGCCCATGCAAGTCAATTTGCATTCCTGGCTCCCATTATTTCCAATGGGCCTTCAAGTGTTTCCCATTGTTTCCAATGGGCAATCCTGTCCTTCCTTTTAGTACATCCCCATTATTAGCAAGAGTTCAGCTTTCTGTCATGAGCAGTCAAAAAGGGGGGGTTGCTTCAATTTTTCAACAATTTGCACTGCAAATAGTAAGAAGCCTGTTTTGTATATGTATTGTTTTTT